TAGATTAGCAAATATGTTTTCAAATATTTCAAATGGATGTTGGAAATGCAAACATAAACCAGGTACCTTTTATCACATGTGGTGGACTTGTGATAAGGCAAAAAAAATATTGGACTAAAATTAATAAATGGCTTGAGGAAATGTTACAAAAATCTTTAATATTTAAACCTAAAGTCTTTTTACTAGGAATTGTACCAGATGTCGACAAACAAGCTATGTATTTGATTCTACATGTAATTACTGCAGCATGGATTGTATTTGCCCAAAATTGGAGGAGTGAAGAACCATCCACTGATGAACTGATTTTAAAAAAGATTTTGGATTGTGCTGAAATGGACAGACTGACTTTGTGTCTGAAGGAGAAAGAGGATACATACTTCTATCAAACCTGGAACTCTTTTTATTATTGGCTAGAGAAGCGATATAACTGCATATAAGTTAAATAGGCAGGGCGACAGTATACAGCCTTGCCGAATTCCTTTCTCAATTTTGAACCAATCAGTGGTTTCCTTTTCCAGTTCTCACTGTTGCTTCTTGACCCACATATAGGTTTCTCAAGAGACAAATAAGATGGTCTGGTACTCCTATCTCTTTAAGAACTTGCTGCAATTTGTTGTGATCCACACAATCAAAGGCTTTAGCATAGTCAATGAAGCAGAAGTAGATGTTTTTCTGGAACTCCCTAGCTTTCTCCATGATCCAGCGTGTGTTGGCAATTTGATCTCTAGTTCCTCTGCCTCTTTGAAATCCTGCATATACTTCTGGTAGACCCCCAAACATGCTCAGAAGCCTCCATCACCACCCAAGATGCTGGGATATCTAGTTAATTCCCTCAGATGATAAGGACATCATTTTTGGTATTAATTCTAGAAGGTGGGCGCGCATCTTAATATGCATGAAAAAGTGCTTCTGTTTAACAGTTTAACCCTTCACTATTCACGTAACACTATCTATCGAAATCTTCCTTGCTTGAAGAGTCCGCACTCCTCTGGGTTGACCGCTCAGCACACCTCTGGCCTAATTACCCTTGAAGCCCAACTTTGGGAGAATAATCAAACCATGAAGCAAAACGGGTCTCCTGTGAAGTGTGGGATAGCTTGCCTTTTCCAGCGAAAGTCAGCCTTAGCTGAACTGCTCAGACAAGCACTTTTCTCCATCCTCGGTTTCGAGTGCTCAGAACAACGTGGGTACAAGGTCAGTGTCGTTGCTATTGTGCTCCTCCCTGGAATTCAGGGTTTTCTATTTAATGGGTGGCCCAAGCAGGCATTCCATTCAAAACCCTTTTTCATATGTCTACGAAGAATTAAACCTTTGCAGCTCCCTCAGTTGAGGGCTCTCATCTTAATGCGGAGAAAATGCATCTCTAACTGTCAGTTTGATTCGGCTTCCATTCCTGTCACCAGGGCTGCGTGTTCAACGCTTCACGGCACAGAATACAATCCGTCGACCTACTCCTGACCGAGATTCTGGACGCAATTGGGCTTACAAGTCAGCACACCTCTGCCCACAGCATCCTGTTGCCCCAGCATGAGCATTTCAGAGAACTATGAAACGTCATAGGTGTGCTCGTATGCTCTTCGGAGAAAGCGTGCCATTTTATTTTATTTATTTATTTTTGGATTTATATCCTACCTTTTTCCTACAAGGGGCTCAAGGCAGCTTACATCATTCTCCTCCATCTTATCCCCACAACAACAACCCTGTGAGGTAGGTTGGGCTGAGAGTGTGTGACTGGCCCAAAGTCACCCAGTTGGCTCCATGGCTGAGTGGGGACTCGAACCCAGGTCGTCTGAGTCCCAGTCCCATGCTCTTAACCACTACACCACACTGCCTTACCTGAACTGTTCAGCACTTTTTCGCCATACACAATTTTGACTGCCCAGAAGAACATAATGGGAATGTCTGTGTTGTTGCCACTGTCTTCCTTCTTGGCTTTCAAGTGAATGGATGGCCCAAACAGCGATTCCATTCAAATACCCTCTCCCTGGGATTAACCAAAAAAGGCTTTGGCAGGTCCCTCTCTTCATGGTGCTCATCTCAATACGCAAGAAAATATGCTTCTGTTTATGTGCATAGTGAAGGGTTAAAGGTATGCTTACTGGTAAACCCAGTTGAGTCCCGAATCTCTGTGTCAGGAGTATGTCAACAGATTGTACTCTGTGCCAAGTGAACTGTTGAACAGGCAGGCCCACTCTGCTTCGCATGAGTGAAATGTTCAGAGTCTAGAGTCTCCCTTCTCTGCTTGTCTTTGAACTCACAGGGATGCTTTACAGTAGAAGCAATCCAACCAGTGAATTGAGTATGATAATATTGTTGCCAGATCAGTGAAGCAATATTTTCAGCATTATAAGCTGTTAACACATGGCAGAAAAGGTGAAGGGCACATAGGTATCACTGAAATCCAGGTGGTAATAGAGCAACATCTTTAAGTCCCAACTGGTACAACGGGACAACTGTGTTGCTCTAGGTGGCTCCAACCAATAGCAGGTTAAAACTTATTTTGAAGCTCGCCAGAAAACCTAGCAGCAGGATTGAATACTAATATCTAGAGATGCAGAAGCACACAGACAGTAAGGACTTGCAAAGTATTTCTTTTCAAAATGCTAGATAATGTACAGTTTTTCAGTGGGTCAAGTTTTTTCTTCAAATGACAGGTTGACGATTGCTACTTCATACAAAATAACATTTGCTGCACAGTTAATCTTGATGAAAACCTGAAAAATAACCTCTGTGGAAAAATCATCTCCAAAACAGGATTCATACTGTGAAATTATTTAGCTCAGCTTGCATGTTCCAGTGGGCACGCTGCAAAATAATTCCCAGTGTTCACTTGGGAAGGCAGAGTCTTCTGAAATGGACTCCGTTCATGGGAGATTAGATCCATGGAGGTACTTTGAGACCCTGGCGTAGAATCCGGGTTATTACTTCTCAGCACAGCCAGCACCCCAGCTTCAGGTCCCATGGAGATCCACACTGTCATTGGCCACATGAATGACGGGTCCACCAGAATCTCCCTGAAAGGTCAAAATGCGGGGAGGGGGTTAGTATTCTAACCCTAACCCTCAAACTTCCTTGAGAAACTTTTTCTGCACAGCTCAGCATTTTGTCACATTCCAACCATCAAAATCTTAGCAGGAGGCCTCGTTTTCCAAACTCTAACCCTAACATGCTGCATACCCAAAACCCTAATAAGGGACACACTTTCACTGAAAATGGGGCGATTCTGAAAGAAACTTTCTTGAGAAGCTTTTTGTGCATAGCTCATCATTTCTGCCCATTCTGAAAACATTACAACAATCAAAATCGTATCTGGACACCTCATCTTTCTAACCTTAAAAATACCCTATGTGGAGTAGCTCTTTCTGCACAGCTCAGCATTTCGTCCCATTCGAAACACATTCCAATCATCAAAATCTCAAAAGGACAACTCGTTTTCCTAAGACTGTACTAACCGGGTGAACACTCCTAACTGTAACATAACCCTAAACTTCCAATGTATATAGGGTGATTTTGAAAAATTCTTCCTTGAGTAGCTTCTTCTGCGCAGCTGATAATTTCTGCCTATTCTAAACACATTCCAACCGTCAAAGTATTAGCAGGAATCCTCGTTTCCCTTACACTAACCCTATCATGCTGCACACCCGTAACATTAATATAGGGCTAAAGTTCCACTGAAAATGGGGCGATTTGGAAAAAGCCTTCCTTGAGTAGCTTTTTCTGCACAGATGATCATTTCTGCCCTTTCTAAACACATCCCAAGCATCAAAATCTTACCAGGACAACTTGTTTTTCTGATCCTAGAAATACCCTTCCTAGAGTAGCTTTTTCTGCACAGGTGATAATTTTTGCCCATTCTGAACACATCCCAACCATCAAAATCTTAGCAGGACACCTTGTTTTTCTAACCCTAATGCTTCCCTGCTGCAACCTGATGCACATCCCTAACCATAACCTAGGGCTAAAATTCCATTGAAGATAGGGCAATTATGAAAGATGGCCATTCCCAGGACCTGAGTTCACAAAATGCGATGAGGTGGGGATGTTCCATAACTTACCTTCTGGTCCCAGTCTAAAAGCATTGCAGGGCGCAGCAGCAGAGCCCGGGGAGCGGCCGCTCCAGTGTCTGTCCTCTTTGCTTCTTTGCACCATTGAGGCCTCCTCATACAACTCATGAATTGTTGTGGCCTTCTTGCCCTGGAGAAATCAGTCTGGGTTTGCATGACACAACAACCCATCACGACTCACAGCCTGTAGTGGGTTATCTTGAGAATAAACCAGTCAGTCTCTCACTATTACTTTCTTCTGTTGTTGTTGCTGTTGTTTTGAATAAAATAGATAAAAGACTGTATATCACAGCTTATAAGAAAACTGTATTTTAGTGTCAGCAATCATAAGTCATTGTGTGGAATTTCCCAGTTGTGTATGTGCTTTTTTATGTGCATCCCCCGCCCCCACACACACACACATATATACACAATCTTCTTGAATTTAAGAGTTTACTGGCACAATTCCTATAATAACCCTGTTGCAGGAAGACTGGATAAAAAAGATTAGGGTGTGGAAGGAGAATCTTTGAATTTAATTTGAGGTGATCATTTTATTTCTTAAGGTGTCAGTAAAAATATTGCCATTCAAAGATTAAAAAGAGTATTTTATGTAGCATAATCTAATATTGACCATCTAAGCACTGAGGTGATTTCATAGTGTGAGAATATCCGTTCCTGAAACAGTCCTCTTTTCTTCTCTTCTCTTCCATGACTTTCCAGTCATAAGACACTCATCATGCTTCAGTTCTTCTGTCATCAATATGGTCTTTGTATCCTCCTTAACATTAAAATATTAGGCAAGTAAAACTCACACTTTTTAGACAAGTGATGGGAAAAATCCATGTCCCATATTTAAAACCTTGCAGAATATAAAGTGAGCCTTTCATCTTGTATATTCCTTTTTATTCTACAACAACAGCAACTATAAGTGAGATCCTTGCAAAGAAAGCACTTGGTGCTAATTAACCTGGGAAGAATAGGATAAAGGGGGTGGTTGAAATACTCGATGTCAGTCTACCTTCAGAAAACATAAGACAGAAAACCTTGATAAGGCCCATTCCTTCCTTCTCCCAATTCAACACCCTTCTTAAGAGGCTTAGAAGAAACCAAGCTGCAATATTAATCAGATATATTTACTGCCATTAGTAGTAACGATTTAGGCTTCTGGTTCCCGAAATATCTGGCTGTCCATTCATCCATATTTCCCGGATGATGCACTCTCTTTCTTCCAGTCTTTGAGCTCTCTCTAGCTCCTCAGCTGAGGTAAAGACATTCCTGTTCAAAGTCCTTTCAAACCTGTGATGCCACCGTGTAGAGAGGTCGGATATGGTGTCTGAGTCACTGTCAATACCACTGCTATCTCTGTCAGTGTCCTGCGCTGGCTTCTTTGTTGGTTTACAATCAGTTTGGCAGGAGATTTGGAGCACTAAAGCCAGCAAGGTCAAGAGGAGTCCAACACAAATGCCAGATACAAAATACAGAGCAGCACGCTCAGGATTTTCTGAAAGATGGAAGAGAAATGGTTTTTAAATGGTGAGTGCTCCAGCTACATAAACTGAGAGAATCTCAGTCCATAACACATTTTAAATCATATTTTTGCCAGTCAAGGTGATGGAGGAAAGTTTGAGCCCAGGGCAGAAGAAGATGGATTATTCTGAGAATGAAGAGAAAGATTTGTAGTGGGAAATGTTTGGAGACTACACACAATCCACTGAACCCCATGGGATAGGAGATAAACAAACTGAAGTGCTATGGAATAGGAGAAAGTGGTGGGGATAAAATGATTGGTGGTGGCTATGATCATCTAACTGGCTGGTAACAGACTAAGGAACACAGGTGAGAAATTAGAGCAAGATATATGATTTTAAAAAGTCAACAGGTTTGGAAAAGCAATAGAGTTTTGGATTGCAAAGGAAAAAATGCAACAAGCCAAGTACACAACAAAATCCCACTGTCAGGGATAGGACATTCTGGAGGGCTTTCATTTGGAGGTTGACCAGATGTCAGATGTCCCTTTACAGCACACAACAACACAGAAGGAACTGGGGGTACAGAGAGATCTGTGGATGGGGAAACATGTTCAGGGTCACATCCAACTGGATGCTTACTCTAGACATGCTTACTCAGAAGACCTATTGCGTGCAATAGAATTTATTCCCAGGTAAGTATATGTAGGATTGGAGTCTTCCTCTTTAAGTTAATATGCTCAGAACTGTAACCTGGCTTTTTCACCCTGAACATAGTTTAAATAGCTGGATCTGGAGAGAAATTGAGTGATGACTTTGGAAATTTATAGAACAACCATCCCAAAACAAAGGAAACCATGCAGGTCCAGTAGAAATTAAAATGGTAAAAATAATTTAACTGCTAAAAGTATTCATTACAAAACAGATAATGCTAAAATCACCTGACAAGTGTGAACCCATCAAGCCATTAAACATTGCTGGATGCTTTAAAATGCCTCAGCATATAGGCCAGCCTTAACCCTGACATCAGAAGGATGCCAAAGTTGGCACCATTGAGGAGATAATTCCACTCTCTAACAGGATCTCAGTCTTGCCTGCATTGAGCTTCAGTGTATTAGCCCCTCGTTCGGTTCATTTTTACTGCCAGGCACTGGTTTAGCACATCCACACCCTCACCTGATGGGAAGGAAAAAGAGGAATAGAGCTGTGTGCCATCAAGATACTGATGGCAACTCATTTCAAAGCTCTGGTTGACCCCACTCAGGGATTTCATGTACATAAAACTGATCCCAAGGAACCCTATGCTGGAGAATCCACCAGGCTGAGCAATATTCCCAAAGTACCACCTTCTGGAGCTGCCCATTCAAACTGTAGCAGGAGCACTGCAATGTAGCACTGCCAGTTCAAACTCAGATAGCCACCCCATGAAAATACCATGGTAGAAAGCTACCAAGATATCCAGGCGTATCAGCAGGGATACACTGCCTAGAACTCTCTAGCAACGTAGGTCATCATATGGAGTGACCAGAGCTGCTTCCATGCCAAAACCAGCCTGATCCCCAACAGAAATGGATTCACATAATTCATCTCCAAGAGTGCCTGGAAATGATGGGCCATCGTCAGCTCAAGGATCCTGCCAAGGAACATTTCCACTGGCCCACAGTTGTAGAGATTGTCTTGCTATTGGTCCAGAGAAGACTTCTTCAAGGATGGTCTCATCATTTCCTCTTTCAACATAGGGCCACTCCATCTTGCAGTGATGCAGTGATAATCTCCTGGCCCAGGCAGTTGTTCTCCCCTCTGCTGGCTTTTATAAGCCATGAGGTACAAACAGCCAGTAAGAGTGGTTACATGATTCTGTCCAAGCATCTTATCAATGTCTTCAAACTGTATGAAATGAAACTGCACCAGGCTGTCTTCTGGGAACCTTACATGATCCAAGTGCCATAACAGTGGAGTCTAAGGCCAAGTCAATGTAAGCAGTTTTGCTCTGGAAATGCGTAGCAATATATTACAGCAAGTCCCAGATTGGTTTGAAACTTCCTTGGAACCAGCATGTAATAGGCTCCTGACAATCCTAAGATTGGGCAGTGGATAGAAGACTGAATAAAGGCAAAAAGTATCTGTTTATGCATGCTACTTTGGCTACCTCATCTAATTTAATAGAATTGTGGATGAAGCCTTATCCTGCACCAACCCGGCATTTAAAGCAACATCCAGAGACCCAAGGGCAAGCAGCAAACCTGCAGGTGCAAGGAACAATGGAACATGCAGCACAGTCTTAAGTATCTGAGGAATGTTTCCCTCACCTGGCTAGACTTCCTCCTAACACTCTATCTTCTTCTACTCATAACTATACTGATTGCCCCCACATACAGGTCCCTCATCTTGGCCCCTTGTTCTCCTTCCCACGCCTGGACTAAAGCTCTGTGAAGAAGCAGCTAGACTCCCTTCCCATGAGGACTATGAAAGAACTCCAACCAGACTGGCCAAGATGTCAGGGGTGGCCCCTGAACCTTTTCCCCCATCCTCAAGGGGAGCTCCCTTTGACATTATTCTCTGAGGATGTCATGGTTGCCTTGCCTCAGGCAGCCTTCTGAGAATCAGATCCAGCTGGAAGAGAGTTGCTGTTTGTCAGCCCTCAAGGAGGTGCTCTCCTTCTGCAGGGGAAGGAAGCTTCTCTAAGGACAGGAGTCGCAATCCAGCCAGCAAGCAGGAGGCAGAGCAGGAGGCTGGGCAGTTGATAAGACCCAGCTTTCTCACTTTGTCTTCAGAGAGGCTCAGTCAGTTTGCATGTCTGAGGTCCAAATGAGAAGCCATTTTTGGCTGCAATTCTTTCTGCCTCCTCATTTGACTGGGAACCAGGAGCTTCAAAGCAGTGTCCTCTAGTCCTGAAATCTTTGCCCAACGGTGTTGTAATTTTTGGTAACGGGCCAAAAAGTAAGTGAAAAACAGGTCATGGTTTTCTCCTAATTAAATTTTGGTTATGTTTAATGGGGCTATTTCCTAAAAATTGTATAGGTTTGTGCCCAGAGAGCACTGGTCCACAGTGCATTCCTACACTCAGCAGCATGCCATGCTCAGCTTGCAATTAGTCCGTATGGTGTTTATGCAAATTGGCATGCAGCCACACAGCTTAGTGAGCGACCTTAGGCCAGTCATTACCCCTCAGTGATTAAAATGTGTTTAAATGCAAAGGAGTTCACCTTTGTGAGCATGAAGAAAGGTGCCCAGGCGTATACCTTTTTCCACTGGCACCAGGTTGCTTACCACTGCTCTAGATGACTTCCTCCAGACATTTCATGTAGATATTTAGAGCCGGTGTGGTGTAGTGGTTAAGAGCCTGGGACTGGGACTCAGGCAATCTGGGTTCTAGTCCCCGCTCAGCCATGGAGCCAACTGGGTGACTTTGGGCCAGTCACAGACTCTCAGCCCAACCTACCTCACAGGGTTGTTGTTGTGAGGATAAGATTGAGGACGAGAATGATGTAAGCTGCCTTGAGCCCTTTGTTGGAAAAAGGCAGGATATAAATTGAAAAATAAATAAATATTTAAACACAGAGAAAAGACGACGAGAGGGTTCTACCCTTAAAGGCAACCTAAAATAATTTGAAATAACTGAAAATAAACAGAATAGTGTGAAACCTTATAATCCAAAGGTCACCTTCTGAAACCTTCTGCAGAAGGACTGAGAACATTAGAACAACATGCCTCCCAAGACCACCTGAATAGACAGTCCAGAAAGATACCATGGCTGATAGTATTGAAAGCCATCAAGGGATCAAGTAGTGCTAGCAAGGTTGCTCTCCCCCACTCCCCATCCAAAATCTATTCTGCAGTGTACATCATACACTAGAGTTAGCAAAAGCTGTTTCTGTCCCAAACTGATTCTGGAAACAGACTGGAAAGGGTCCAGATAATCAACAACCAATAAACAATCCAATACTGCCTGGAATTGGGAAGTTAACACATGCTTCAGGATCTTGCCCAAGAACAGAAGATCAGACACTGGCTGCTAATTATCCCAAACCATAAGATCTAACTTGGGTTTCTTTAATGAAGGACTTGCCACTGCCTCTTTCAAGGAAGTGGGGACTTTGCCAAAGAAGCATCAACAACTGCTGAGGTCCATATAAACAACCACCTCTGGCAAATTTCAATAGCCAAGATGGACAAGGATCAAAGGAATACATAGTAAATCACAAACCCTCAGTACTTGAGATGTACAATGGGGCAGGGAACATTTATGGATTTGGAGAACTGGTTATCACATATACATTTTTGCAGGATGAATGTGGTCATCAGGTCCATGTCCAACATGTTGCCTTGAGCTGCTCCTGTCAGGTGGACAGTATCAGTGGGTCCTCAAGTCAGCATCTATGTTGAGGAGCCTGTTTCACTCCAAGGAAGGACAGGACAGAGCAAAGCTGGCTCCCAAACTGAAGTGGCGGCTAGAAGAACACTTCTCTAGCTGCCACTGTGCATGAGAGCCAGTTTCTCTGCACCCAGGCTTTCACTGCTAGGGAAAGACTAGACAGAAGATGATCACCAAAGCAATTTCCCTTCCTTCATTTTCCTGTATATGGATCAAAGCAGACTCCCTTATATCACCATCAAAACATGGGTCAACTCTGTGTCCACAGAAGACTTGTCATGAACACCCATGAGGACTGGTGCAGTGGATCTACATTTTTGTACCAAAGCAGTGATAAGAAGCACCAGATCTATAATTTTTAATGTGCAGTCTATACTAAGCTTTCATTTGACTTTGAGTATCTCATGTAAAAATAATATTAGTAAATTAATAAATTAATGTAAATCAGTAAAAAGTAAATTAATGTTTCCTTTTTATTTACTCTATCAGACATTTACTTTCTTGCCAGGCTGTGATGGTGCCTATGGCACTTTTTCAAAATTTCAAATTATCAATGGCATAGAATTCACAATCCAGAAACAGAATCCAGTTGAATCTCTCTCAAGGTACAGAAAGCAAGTTACAAGGCACTGGAGCTTAAAGAACAAGGTTGTTCTAGCTAAAACTGAAGCCACAGCTTCCTGAGCACCACCCAGGGCTCAGCTACAGTGGCAAAAGTCCTACTTAGGAGGGTCTTAATCCTGAGTCAGTTGTCTACTTTTGAGTGGTCCTCCTTGGCAAGTGAAGACTTTTCAAGGAGATCTCCTGGTTGCCTTTTGAGGCAGCTATGCTCTCATGGACTCAGTGGTCACCCAGCTTCCACTTCAGAGGCAGAGCTCCGTTCCTCCTGCAGGGGCAGACCTGAGGGCCCAGGAGCTACCAGATCTGATGTCTGTCTGTGGGAGCTCTTGCTCCTTCTCAGAGGAGGATTCCTTCAGCAGAGGCATGGCATCGGATCCAGGCTTCCCACCTCTGCCAGCCTCTGGGAATGGTAGGAGAATTCCTTCCCATTGTGACCAAGGGGAGGAGAACTTTAAAAAAAAAACCCTGTTTCACCAGGGGTCGGGTAGGAAATGCCAGTGCTCACATGCATGCTCCCATCCTGGCTATTACAAGCTAGCAGGGCTGTGGATGCAGCAATACATTTGCCTTATTCCCCACCACCACCATTAGGATTGCTCTGTGAGCCATTAGGCTGCATCAGCTCTCTTTATGAACCAAAATCCTAAATTCCTTTCAAGCTGGAATGAGAGAGAGAGAGAGAGAGAGAGAGAGAGAGAGAGAGAGAAAATCTTAACTGTAAATTAAACTATTGAGCTCAGATTTAAAAAAATAGCCAGTAAATATGCATCAACTCATATTAAGGAGTGTGTACACTGTGAATGCAGTGCACCACCATATATTGCTGCTGGTTTTGAATCAAAAGTTCTTGTTTCCATGTTTTTCTGATGGAGAAGCATTTTTTTTTTTTAAACCCTCTACAGGAAGTCATCTTAAAGCAAAATCAAAGGGATAAACTTCTAGGAAAGGGAGATCATTTCTTTGCTTGTTTTCCTCTCTTCTTCCCAGAAGAGATGAAGACTCAACTGAGGTAAGCAGAAGAGAAAAGCAGGAGAGTGGAGCAGAACTAGGGGAATCTACTCATCCCTGATCCATTCAGTTCCCAGAAAATTTAAGCAGATATATTGAATGCAATTTTCACATCAGGAGGGTCCTTTCAAAATACATATATGAGGGAAAGAATGGGGGGAAATCATACAAGATATACAGCACAAATCCAGATGTAGAGAAAAGCTGTACCTGAGGAAACACTTATGCATCTACACTTAGTTAATTTTAAGATGTTACAAGAAGCCAAGCTGTCTAGCTATAGCCAGCATTAGTTTCCCCAAATTACGGGACAGCAAGCCTGTAGTTATTTCTGCCTGAGCAAGTATCGAAGTGTGCCCTTAACTGGCCTTGAGAAGCCATCATTTTCAGCCAGCCATTTGAAATACAGGGACAATAGCACCAGCTGGTCTTCTGTGAGTGTTGTAAGGACACTAGCCTGAGATGTGCAGCCTTTGTGGCAAACACCCCCACTACCTTTTCATATCATTCATAATCATTTTGCAGAGAACAACGGATTTTCATCAGATAGAGCAAATACATTTACCATACTGCTTTTCCTTCTTGTTTTGGATTTCATCCTTGAGCTGGACTTAGGCCTGAACTCCCACACCTTCTTAGCTCCAAGCAAAATACTTTGGTTCACTCCAGAATCAAAAATAAAAAGCTTTAGGGGGCAAATAGATAGGAATGCTACCCTTAGGTACATAGATACAGCCTCAGTAAAGAGAGAGAAGTAGATAGAAGACTACCTGTGATAAATGAGTACGCTGCTAGGATATTGCTGAGCAATGCCATCTCTGTGCTGGTCCTCACAAGCTCCATACTCCTGCTGTTGACTGCTCTCTTCTGTGTCTCCCCCACTGAGAGGAGCAAGGGCTGGGTGGTTTAATGGGTAAAAGGTAGCAGACCTCTTCTTCGTCTCCTCCCCCTCCTCTGTTTTGGAACACAAAAAAGTGGGGGATGAAGCACATCTGATCCCCCTGATCAAGTAGAGCGTTCTCCTGCCTGTCGAACTCTGCAGTCAGCAACCAAAATCATCGCTGTGAAATGCTCTGGCATGAAGTTTGCTGTTAGACTTTAGCTGACTGCTCCAAAACCACTCCAGGCAACTACTGTGCTTGTTTGCGTGCAAGCTAGGTCTACCGTCTCCTGGTTTCCTTCACTTTCAAGTCACCAGTTAGACACACCCAGATGATTTACAGCAAATATATAATCAGCACCTTTTTTCTCTCCTTCCTTCCCATTTTCAAATCAAAAGACGCTTTATCAGAGTTGATTCCCAGCAAACTTGTAATAGTACAATAGCGCACTCTAAAAATCAGAGTGCAGCAGGCGGCACTATTCTTGATCTGACTGTAATTCTATAGTTTGTGATGTGCTCCTGGCAAACAGTCCCCCTTTCCTGCCAGCTTTTATTAAATAGAGGAAAGGTCTGTAACTCCCTTTATGACTTCTTAGAGGAGTTTGCATTCTTAATGTTTTCCCTGTAGCAGAGCAGAAGGGTACAGTGAATATGAGTTAATGATTGGATTTTATTTGTTGAAGTTTTGTAGCCAAGGAGGCTATTAATTTCTTGAACCTGAAAGAGACCCTTTCAGAGCTTATCAGATCACTGCAGAAAACTTGTACTTGATTTATTTGCAATACTGCAGCCAGCAGTGATACTCCAGGAATTTTAACACATAGTAGACCATAGTTCAATCAATAGTTGAAGGCTTTCAAGCTCTTTCTCAAAAGTCAATCTGCCACTTTCATTTGGCACACTTTGAATAAGTGGAACACTGAACTGCTAGTGTTAATTTCAAGAAGGTGACAAGGCCTGGTATGTCAAATACTGTTTGTCAGTGCTTCTATCTGCAGATTGAGAAAGTCTACATTTCCACTCATTTCATCTCATTTTTGTTGCTAATTCTGATTTTAGAATTTACACACACAATGAATGGTTCTATAGTTACTTTCTCCTGGAATAAATCTAAAAACTATACATTCCCAAAGGCAAGTTAAAAATCAGCCAGAATCTGCAAGATAGGCTACCTACACATAAGAGAAGCTGAATGCAGCAGATGTTTATGGAGTTGTAGGTTTGCCATACTATGCCTTCTGTGGTAGGACTGGCATCCAGGGTCAGCAGAGCTGGGCAACTGCCAAAGGCACACATCGCATCACAGCATCCACCAGCCAGAGCCTATGGACTTGCTACCTGCTGTTCACCACCTTTCACTCAGGCCCAGAAACACTAGTGGTGTGAAGAAGATCCAGAGATGCCACTGCCTGCCTGGATCTGCCTGCCAAGCAAGCAGGTGGCAGCTGTGATTAAGAATGGAGGCAGTAGCAGCAGGTGACTCATGGTAGGTGGGGGGGGGGTGACTTGTCCAAGGGCCCTCCAAAACCCAGAACCAGCATTACTCTGCAGAGCAACAGATGCACAGAGCTAGGGAGGGAATTGCTGCAGCAGGCTCTGCCCCTGACCTACATGTTTGTATTTCAGTGTCTGAATCATGCATACAGGACATACATTAATCCAGTTGTCAGTATCAGCCTGCCATTTTACTTCTTAAACCTAACTGGAAATAGGAGTCAGCTATGATACTTCTTTACCACTTGGAGATCAGTTTGCTAAGTCCATTTCCTTAAACACAGTGAGTTAACTGGACAAATGATGGGGGTTTTTTCCATCCAGGCTTGATTTGCATGCTTTCTTTTTAAAACTAAAAATGTGCAACTAGTACATGAAGAAACAAGACAATCAATCATTCTATCAGCAAGTCAGTTAAAACAAAAAGTCAAAGGGAGGTAAATGGGGAATGTGGGTGGGGACAAGGCTGGAGAGACAAGTCTCATCCTGATCCCCTCGCCAGGCCCAAGGGGAAGCAAGACACACCCAGCTGTGCAGTGGGTGGGAAATAACTCCCATTGCGCTCAGTGGAGCTTGCTTCTGTTTCAGTCTGAACTGGAAGCAATATTAAAAACAAGCAGGCTGACCTAAGCAGGTTCCTGGGATCATTTATCTCCTTTCCTCTTGCAGTTTTACACTTTCAGTCTTGCAGCAGGAATTTGACTCAAGCACCCCACAGGTTTTAAGCAGTTAGGAAACCCTTCAACTAAAACTCTTGCAAGGTACTGTGGTCTTGGGACATGTAGCCTTGTCTTCAAAAGGGCCAAATTTAAGAAATTAAAGTCAGTGGTAAGCAAAATCCCTTGGCAACTCACCCTAAAGGAGAGTGGGGTCCAGGAGGGATGGGAGATCTTAAGAAAAGAAATTCTTAAAGCACAACAGTAACTAATCCCAACAAAGAAAAATAATACAAAACTATAATTGCCTCCTGTCATAGCTCCACAAAATTTAGGAGACAACTTAAAAGCTAAGAAGAATGTGTACAGGAAGTGGAAAGAAAGTCAAGCCTCAAAAGAAGAATACAGTGGTACCTCGGCTCACAAACGCCTCAGTTCACGACCAAATCGGGTTGCGAACAAAAATTTCATAAAATTTTTGACTCAGGTGGTGAACTCCACATTGGGTGGTGACCATGATCGCGGCCATCTCCCCACCCCACTGAGTGGGGAGATGGCTGCGATCATGCTGGGGGCGGGGGGGGGGAGATGGCCAGATCACGCCCGTTTTTCCTACACAAGTGCGCCCGTGATTGTGCCCATCTTTCCTGCACAAACGCAACCGCGTTCTCTGCCATCTCCCCCCCTAGCACAATCGCGCCCATCTCCCACCCAACGTGCCCACGATTGTGCCCATCTCCTCCCCTCCCAGGGTGCTGGGATGACAGGCGTGTGCCAGGATGCTGGGGAGGTGGGGAGCTGGTCACGATCTTTGTTGTTCTTTGTCACTTTGCTTCACATTTTTCTGATTAAAAAAAGTAGTTACCGAACAGATTATCCTTATTTACATTGAACCTTATGGGGAAATTGAACTGGCTCATGACCAATTTGGGTCACTACCAGAGTCCTGGAATGGATTAAGTTCGTGAGCCAAGGTACCACTGTATAAACAGACAGCAAAAACTTGCAGGGATGGAGTCAAGCTACAAACTGAGACTAGCGAAGCATGCTAAAATAAGAGGAAAGCCTTCTACAGCTACGTACAAAATAAAAGACAAACAAAAGAGAGAGGCATGCAGCAACTCATCAAGGACAGCAAAAAGATAACCGATCACAAGGAAAAGGAAGATCTGCTCAACTCCTATAGGGCCTGGAAAATAAGTCTTATGATGAGAGATTAAAAGTACAGGGCCACTTCAGCCTTGAGAAAAGAAGACGAGATGACATGATAGCACTCTACAGGTACTTCAAAAGATGTCACAAAGAAGAAGATCTCTTCTCACTCATTACAGATTGTAGGACATGGAACAATGAACACCAGATGCAGGCTAGACACAAGGAAGGATTTCCTGACTGTAAGAGCAGTACAACATTGGAACCAGCTTCCAAGAGAGGTTTTGTGCTCTTCCACAGTAGAGACATTCAGGAAGCAATTAGACAGTTATCTGAGTGCGATGGTATAACTGGCATCCTGCACCACAGGGAATTGGACTTGATGGCATTCTTGGTCCCTTCTAACTCAAATATTCTATGATCCAAAGCTCTGAAATAGGTTCTAAAAGATTCTTCTTGTTAATTAGTCAACAGGTTTACCAAACGAGTAGGAATCAGTCACTTGTCCTTGAGATGACCTTAGTATTTGCACTGCAATGCCAGCTTCCAGATAACATGGCCTTCAGCTTTAGCAGAGACCTGTATCTGAATAAGATGGAGTTAGGATATGTTCTGGCTTAGAGGCCCATTCCAGCCTGTCCATAACACATACTTTCATGCATCTCAACAGCTTGCCTAAGGTACAGAGTCTTTGGCTGTGGTTGAAGTGACAGATCACTAAGACATTTTGCTCACACTTCTATTTTCATTCTGAATCATGACTGCACAGCACAAGGCAGTTTTGATGATGATAAATAGTCCTTAGGAATTATTTTAAATGACAAAAACAAGTATTGCCAGTGTGGCCCCCAAAAGCATAAACTAACATCTAGGTACAACCGTCCTGAGACTTTTAAGTATGGGATGGTATAGAAACGTTTTAAATAAATAAAACCCCAAAACAAATTTATAAAGGAATTTGCTAAGTGAAGCTGGTATTACAAGCAGTTTTATTGCACCCTCAGAGTTGCAATATCAATGCATGAAGAAAACAACAGGGTAAACAGACCAGACTGTTGCTTTCCTGTGGTCTTGCATGCAATGATGCAGGCTGGTTCTGCATCTTCAGAATACTCTGAAGAACTATGTACAGCAGCCACACTGGGGGGTAGGGATTGTCTGTTTTTAAATAGGGTAACTGGCTGTGGGCATCCTCCACAACACTTCATCTTATTCAGCAGGAAGTGTGCTGTCATTATAGATTTGCTCTGGGAAGCAATGGGAGTGTTGCTGCTTTATATTTTTCCTTTGGGCCAAACTTCAAAGGAGCACTCCATAGGATGCCACCCAAAAAGCCTTTTTCTCCAGGCATTTCAATGAGGAAAGGTCCCGGTCATTTATAATTTCCAAATTTTGCTGTCCTGGTAGCAAACATATTTACTTCAGAGAAGCATCATTTTGTTGTAGAAAGAAGATAACACATAAAACTAAATAATTAAATGAGCATATGTAGACATGTACTTGCCCACTGCCCACCCATCCTCTGAACACAAGACTTTTTGGAAATGAGGAGGTGTCATGCTTATCATCAGGGCAGCAGAAGCAAACCTCATTTTGTTCCTGTAGTACTCACGATGCTACATTTTAATTGAGTTTAAAATGCAGATACTCAGAGTATT